AATTTTTTATTAAGGTATTATATGTGTACATACATTACGGGTTTGTTTCTTTTGAGCACTGTGATCCATTCCATTCTGGCAACAACTACCAATCTGTTCCGTTTCTGAGTTTCGTGTCTTTTCAAACAATTTAGAGTTAAAGGAATAAGAAACCTGTAAAAGTAACAAGACTTTTACTCTGCTTTGCTTGAGGAATGCCACATGTATTTTTTCAGGTTAAAAAAAAATCCTTTTATTTTGAAATAATTATAAAATCACATGGGATAGCAGAAATAGTACCAAGAATCTGAGTCCCCTTCATCCCGATTTCTCCAGTGGTGACATGTTAGTGCTGAGTACAAAGTCACAACAGGACCTTGATGTTCGTACACTGCTTGCTGAAAGGGCAGGGCGGGACTAACTCCTCGGAATGAGAGGGCTGGGTAGAATTCCTGATCCTCCATTTTGTGTAGCTGGACCATAGCCTTCACCCAACCAATCAGGTTCAGCCAAAGCAGTGACATCACCACCCCTATAAAATCCCTTAATCTGTTGAAGCTAATGCTCTTCCGTCATGCCAATGTAGGTGTAAGTGGGACAGAGCCCATGCTAGCATGAAACAGGCTTTCTGCTATTGCATGAGATGCGGCTCCCTGGTGGTCCTTAGGAATCACAAAATCTGGGCATAACACTAGCTACGCCACAGAAGGGACTCAGTTTCCACCATGTTTATCTCTGGCGTAGACCTGTGAATCCACCACAAAAATCAAGATGCAAAACTCACCTGCTGCCTCCCTCTTTTATTCACATGCCTCGCCCACTCCTACTCACCTCTCCATCCTGATGGTTTCCTCATTTCGAGATGCCATCTGGATGATATCATTCTGGATGCATTGTTTTGGAGTGGACTTTTGTTTTTGCCAAGCATAATGCCTGGATCACAAGCTCATTGCTTTTCATTGCTGATCAGTGTTCTGTTGTACAGAGTTTGTTTAGGGATTTCTCAATTGAGGGACATTTGGGTTGTTTCCAATCCACTATCCTCTCTAATAAAGAGTAATATGCAAATTGACCGTACCCCAAGAAGCCATGCCCATCAGCCAATCAGGAGTGGGTATGCAAATTGACCCAACCAAGATGGCTGTGGCCATGGAGCAAGCAGGAGGTTTGGGTTTCCCAGGCAATGGAGGAGGCCAAACTTTCTGTACACCCTGGTTGGCTCTGGACTCCAATCAAGGCTGTAAATTTTCAGTTACAAAAGATGGCTGCCATAAGATGACCAGAGGGGAGAACAGTTGAGAGGGACCAGACCTGCAGGGGAGGGTAGTTATGGCCGACCAGGTGGACAAAGGAGGGAAGTTGGGGGTGACTGGTAGTACAGGGAAAGGCAGTTGGGGGGACCTGGGTCTGCAGGGGATGGAGCAGTTAGGGGCAAACAGGCCGGCAGGGGAGCACTTAGGCATCAATCAGGCTGGCAGGGGAGTGGTTTGGGGGTGATCAGGCTGGTACACAGAATGGGCTAGGGGTAATCTGGAAGGCAGGCAGGCAAGCAATTGGCCAGCAGTCCTGGAGTGTGAGAGGTGCCAGATTGGAGAGGGTGCAGGCTGGGCTTAGGGACACCTAGCCCCCATGCACGAATTTTGTGCACCAGGCCTCTAGTGATGAATAAGTCTATTGTGAACATTAGTTTATAGGTTTTTCTTTTTGTGAACATAGGAATCCCTTTCTCTGGGCTCAAGGCCCAAGAGTAAGACTGCTGGCCACGTGTAAGTGCAGGGTTAGTTTTATCCATTTTTCTAAAATAGAAAGGAGAAACTGCAGATTATGTGATGTGGATTTGGAAGAAGCCCCAGGACAGGTGATCATGCAATGCAATAGAGCTTGTAACTCATTTCATGTGCAGCAATAAGTTACAGACATCACTCCTAAGTTGGAGAGCAGAGAGAATTAAAGAGGAGAGATTGATGTGCTCAGACAAACTGCCTGCAGCTGGCCAAGGGTTTAGGGTTCTTGGCAAATGACCAGGTGAGAAAAACGTTTAACTAATCATGTCCTTTTATTTTTATTTAAAAAAAATATATTTTATTGATTTTTTTAAAGAGAGGAAGAGAGAGGGATGGAGAGTTAGAAACATCGATGAGAGAGACACATCTATCAGCTGCCTCCTGCATACCCCCTAGTGGTTATGTGCCTGCAACAAGGTACATGCCATTGACTGGAATGGAACCTGTACTCTTGAGTCCACAGACTGAAACTCTATCCACTGAGCCAAACTGGTTAGGGCTAATCATGCTGTTTTAGCAAAAATAGTTTATTGCCATGATAATTTAGGGTTAAGTGTGTAGTTGCTGCAATTTGCATAAGCTTGAATTTAGTTAAAAATGAAATATTATGGCAATAGGCATATTGATTGGATATTTATTTCCTTTTGGGAGGCAGAAAGTACTTTGTAGATCACATGCTATATTGCTATGTTGCTCCTTGAAAGGAAGCGGCCTGGGGAATGGCTACGGCCAGGGTTTGGGCCGCAGGCCCAGCCTCTTGGGCATGTGGCCTTAGTCTGAAGGGCCCACACTTAGTTTAATTCTCTGTTGTCACCATCTTCAAATTCTCCTTTTTTGTAATCTTACCTGAGGACAGGCTTAGAGAGAGGAGAAAAGAAAGATAGAGATGGAAAGAGAGAGAGAGAGAAAGAGAGAGAGAATATTGATGTGAGAGAGAAACATTGGTTGCTTCCCATATGTGCCCCAATGGGGATCGAATCTGCAACCTGGATATGTGTCCTGGCAACCTTTCAGTGCATGGAATGAAGTTCCAACCAACTGAGCCACACCATCGGGCACCACCCCAAATTCTTAACTTGTGAACCTGGGGCCTGGCCTGCAGTTTCGTTTGGGGCTACAAGTTATGTTGTTGGTCCTAGTGGGCGGCTGTCCCCAGCAGGCCAGGCTGCTGGCTTATACGTAAGCTGAGACTTCTCTGCCACTAGGAAGGGCAGGTGGCTGATTCTGGAATATCTGTAAGTCCATAAGGCAGATTCAGGGCACCCGATGGCAAGGGGGATGACACTGGAGGTTTGGTCCACAGGGAACCTGGTGGGTTAGTCAAAGGCCACCAATACTGTCTCCACGAGTCAACTCCACAGACTTCGTGGTTGACACCATTCTAACTGTGGTCCTTGTAGAAACCTTGTCCCATCTCTGCTGCCTTCAGGCCCTGTGAGTGCTAGCAGGCTCCTGTCAAAAAGTCCTGGTCCTTTGGCTGGTGAGCTGGGCCACCCCTTGTAGCTGGACTTGGGCTTTTCCAGGGCACCTATATTTTCAAAGGCCCAGTCAGCCTGGTCATGAGGATTCTGGAATCTTCTTATCTTGAGTCAGGGTCAGGGTTTGGGCAGGGACATCTGCTAGTCTCCCTTCTCCCACCCAAGGAGAGCCTGAGGATAGAGCCACCTTCCCGGCCCGGATGCTGTGCCCTTGGGAGTGCTGGGGTCACAGCTGGGCTCTAGGGAGACCAGACTTCCAGTCTCAAAATGAGATGACCGTCCAGGACAGCTCTCTCAGTGGCACTGCCCTGTGTCTCTGGCTTGTCTCCCCAGCGTGACCCAGACTTCTGAGGTCTGGGATTCTAGCTTCCTTGTCTTTGTCCCTGTGTGCATCCTGGGTTTGCATCAGGCTTAAAGCAAGGAGAAGCAAGGAGAGCAATGCTGGTAAGTAGACTCCAGGGACTAGAAGGGAAGGAGGTGGGAAACTGGTTGCCAGTGAGGACCACCAGGGGCCGGATCTTATGAGAGGGAGAAGTGAACTCTCTGGGGTCCTTGGGGCTCCTTTCTCAGGGGCAAGGCTCAGGTTCTCTTGCCATCTCCTTAGGGGGAGACAGTGTGGTCATCGCCAAGGGAACAGTCCAAATCATGTTTAGGGCCAAGGGACAAAGAAGGGACAGGGTGGGGAGGGCAGGGGGTGAGGAGTAGGTGTAATTTTGAATTTACATTTCCTAAGCTGTGGGTCAGCCCCTGAGTCCCTCCACAAGCATGGCTGGGAGCCCACTAAATGCAGCCTGGGACAGACCCCGATATGTAGGAGCAGATGGGCCTCTGAGAGGGGCTTCCTATGAGGGAAGAGCTTCCAGGGCAGGACTAGTGCTCTCAGGGCCACCACAGAGCTCCCGTACTACCCCAGACAGGTGAGGACAGACAGCAGTCAGCAGTCTGCAAGCAGAAGAGGGCCTTCATGTGACTTTGCTGGCACCTTGCTTGTGGATCTCCAGCCTGCAGAGCTGTGAGCAATAGACTTCTGGCCAGAAGCCCCGGCCTGTGGCATTTTGTCATAGCTGCCTGACGGGACTAAGAGGGCAGGTAGCCACTTTCCTAGAACTTTTATAAATCAATATAAACACGTCTGTAGACTTTTAAGTAAATATTCATTTTCCTCTCTTATGCGGAAGTTGGCATATAAAAAGCTGTAGAGATTGTTCTATGCTAGTATTCTTTTCCTCCTTAGGTTTCCCCCATTGGTACAGAGAACACGCTCTTTCACGCTTCTTTTATGGTCCCCTAGAATTGCACTGTGTGGATGTGCTTTAGTTTATTCAGACCTACAAGCTCTCTCCCATAGATGGGCATTTGGGTTGTTTCCAGGTATTGCTATGACAAACAGCTCTGCAGTGAGTCTCTGTGTTTGTGAGCAGATCTCTGGGATAAAGCCCTAGTCATTGGATCAATGTGTCCATGGGTAGAGGTGTTGGCAATTTTGCTGTATTTTTCCCATAGTGTCTTACTACAGTTGCACTAATTTGCCCGCCCCTTGGTGACCTAGGGGAGTTCCCCCACAAACTCCCTAGAGGGAGCTGTCAGCCTCAGACTTTTAAAACCAGCATGACAGGTAAAGTTCGTGTTTCAGTGGCTGTCATTTGCCTTTCTAATGGAAGTCTTTTGTGGGATGGAGTTGACCAAGGTGAATGGAAGCCAAGGAAGGGCAGGGGTTGTCTTGCTCGCTGTGCCCCCCACAAGAAGCAGCACTTGGAGCTGAGCTCTGGAGGGTTTATTATCTGTCCCTGGGTGGTGGGGTGGGGGACTCGGGCTTGTAATGAGGAGTTAGCTGGGGTCAGGGGCCCTTCACACAGGCCTGTAAGTCCCATTGTAGCTAAGGGGGGTAGGCGTGAAGCAGTGTCTGCCCTCCTTAGGGATCCATCGCTGCATGTAGTTGGGGCCCTTGTCCCGAGGCCACACGATCACGGTGTCCCTGGATGCCACGGATGGGTCCTCGGGGAAGAAGTTGAAGGGCCGGAGCAGGAAGCCCGCGGAGTTGCCCGGGGTGGCTGTGTTGGGGATGTCCTCTGAGTGGGGGATGTGCAAGAAGCCCACTGTCACCCAGGCCACCAAGTCCTGTGGGAGAGAGGGGTGGGCAGTGCTAACCGGCTCAGAGAGGTGAGGGGTGAGCCATCCCTCCAGCTCTCCTTATAAGGAATGGGCAGGTCTGGGGACCACTGAGCTTGCTGTCCACACAGCAAGATGCTGCTGGCACAGGTCCCGGGACTGAACGGGGCACAGCTCTAGTATTGGGCTGGGGCAGAAAGAAGGTGGGGCCAGTACCTCTTCTTCAATGTTCTCATTGTTTCGAAGAAACTCCTCAAAGACCACAGGCGGGTCCCAGGGGTCGTGCTGGTTGTAGAGGCTGCTGCTGTGCAGCTCAGACTCCCGGTACTTGGTCACTGCCAGGGGGTACCTGCGGGGCAGAGCAGCCAGGAGGCTCTGGGCACTGGGGTGGCCCAGCAGCTTCCGGGGCACATCTGCAGGGTCCATGTCGGGGCTTTCCCTGATTTCCACATCATCTCCTGGGGTCTGTCAGTCTCACTGAGGGTCAGCAGGGGCTCAGGTGCTCAAAACAGGCTTTCCACTCCCCTCTTCAAACACAGAGCCACCCCCTGGAACACACACATGCACACACACGCACACACATACGTGCACACACACATCCAGATACACTGCTACACAGACCCAGAGTCTCACAGACAGAAACAGCCACACCAGACACGAGGAAATGTAGGGAGAGGCTACAGGGTTAAGCCTTGGACTGACCTATGGCAGAGCCCTCCCATACAGTTAAGATTGGCCTTATAGGCCACCTTTGTTCCTGGGTAGCTAATGGGCTGTGGGAGGTGCTGCAAGTGCTGACAAACCAAGGCTGGAGTAAAGAAATAGATCTGAAACTCGGAAGAACTTTGCAAACATGTTGACCACTCCGCTTGTTTTGCTGTGTGGAATCTGACTGTAAAATAAAGTTTCCACTTACAGGCTGGGTCAGTTTCCTTCTCCAGGCACAGTGACCCCACCTGGTCCCAACTGAATTCTCTTGTCTGTCTTCTTTAATCCTTCACCGCCTGTCCTCAGGTTCATCTCTAGCATGCTGGGACGTGGTTCAGGGAAACACAGGACAGGGCCTCCAGCCTACCCTCCTTCCCCCGCCTCCCAGCCTCCTCACCTGGCCCAGGTGACAGCCCGCTCCTCCTGCCAGCCGGACGGCAGCACCTGCTCAGCCATGGAGTGGATCTACAGCCTGTAGCTGCGCTGGTGGCCCCAGCGGTTCTCCTTGGGGCTGGTGAAGACAGGTACTTGGGCAGAGTCTGTCCGAAGCGAAAGGCTGCCTGGCGCTCCCGGGAGTATCCCGTCTGCTCTAGTGTTGGCTGGACCAGCTGGTGCTCCGGGCTCCAGGGGTTGGTGATGTTTTCTAGCTTCATGCCCAGGGTCTGGAAGCTATTCTTGGTGCCTGCATGTGTGAATGGAGATGCAGTATGAGGATCCAGCCCCCAAAACACCCTGCCCCATTTTACACTGAGTTCTCCACCCCAGACCACATCCAGCAGCAAACCATTGGGAGCGAAGAGGGTGTTAGAGTTTGCATGGAGCCAGCTGTGGGGGGAAGGAAGGGAATAAACACAAAAACCACCAAGGAAACCAGAGGATGATGCCATAGGTCACAGCTGCTGTGGTGGTTGTGGTGGGACTGTGGGCAGTTCCTTGGATCCCTGGGCCCCAGGCTTTGGGCTGTCCTGCAATCCCAGAGGGCGGCCCTCTGTCCCCAGGTGGGGGCTGTGTCCACCCTGCTGTGTCCAGGGCATCGAAAAGGGGGCTGTGCTGGGTGGGGAGAGTGGAGTTAAGAAGGGGAGTCATCTATCTGGCCCTGGAGGTCGGTTCTGACTTGGTGTCAGGCCACAACCTGCCCAATGCCGCGGTGACACCACTAACCCAGGAGACACAGTGACTAACCCCCATGGACTGCGTCCACCTCCAGGTGCCAGGAGCAGCAACCTTGCTGACATTCGAGGCACTGTCCTCTCTGCTACTCTGAGCGCACCTTTCTGCCGCCCCACCCTCCCCAGGGGTCAGCGCAGCCCCAGGGCAGGCACAGGGTCCAGGCTGCTGCACCCCGGGGCAGCACTGAGTGCTGTTCCTGGTCACCCTTCCTGGGGCACAGGGACTCAATCCTGCAGGCTCAGAAGCTGGCAGGGCACTTTTTCCTGATGATGTGCTTGCAGGGCACAGCATCCTCTCCCACAGTGGAGTTAGTGTCTGCACACGGACGTCTGGCCTGGGGATGTTTGGTGCCAGGGAGTCCTAAGGGGAAACTACAATTGTAAGGTGAAAGGATGTTCTGGTGAAGCACGTGGAGAAAGTGAAAGTAAGGTAGGGAGTGAGGTTTTCTAACAGCTGGGTAGAAAACATGGAAAATTCAGGATCTCAGGAAAGAAATCTCTAAAACAATGCTCAAAGAAGCATAGTCAAATTCTTAAATTTCTTAAGTTTTGTCTAAGGACTATACAGCAAAAAATGGAATTCCTGACAGTGATGCTTAAAGCTGAGCCAGGGCATTTTGCTAAGGAATGTAAAGCTAAAAATGGAAATCAAAAGGACTGAAATGTAAATAGTAAAGGTACTAGCTGAGATATTGTTTAGAAGATACAGATTAGGTAGAAAAGTAGAAGATAGAAAATGAGATACAGATTAAGTAGAAAACTTATCTTCTGTAGAAGATAGTACAGGAACAAAAACAAGGAGGAAATTACATTTTTAGTAAATTATGTGCTCATGGGCACTGGACCTCATGGGGCTTTGCAGGTTCAGTTAAGGTGTAAAGTTTATAAAGTTTGCAAACAAGGGAAGTTTAAACAAAGGCCAGGCAGGCCTACCTATAATTAGCAAGCCATTATTTTCCCCATCTAAGGCAAAGCAGGAGGGGAAGGAAAAAATTTAAATTGGGTATATTTGACAGATTTTCAAATGTAGTATTTCAAGAATTTAGCTTTGTGACATCTCAAGAGCCCTGAGGTGACACAAAGATCTACTCTCTACAAAAACGAAACGGGGAGAAGGATGTTATGTGTTAATTTTTTTTGAATTATGATGCAGAGGGCTGTACAGCAGCTGAAAGACATTGGACCTCCAGTACCATAATCTCTTCGGAGTTAGCCCGGTGGAAGGATGCACAAATTGGACAATGGTTTGGACCAGATCCAATAACGATGTGGGGCAGAAATTGTGTTTGTATCTTTCCAGAAGGAGCAGGGAAGCTATTTGGGTGCCAGAGCGTTACGTGTGTCACCACAATGGGTCCAGAGAAGCTCCTTGTTCAAAGGACTGAGAGTTGCCCAGATGATAGTGAGAAGGTTAACTCCTATTTTGTAAAACGACTGTTTAGAAATCTCTGCTATTTTTTAGATGGCCTCTTATTCTAAAAATATAACTTTGCTTTCTAGCTTGCTTTAGCCTGCTTGAATAATGAGGAAGATAAACTTAGCTGTCTGACCTTGTAGGCCAGAGACTAGATATGCCCATACTCGCAATGTCATGCCACGTGCATTTCTTAATTGGCTAGAACTGTGTTGTTTTTAAGGCCAGCAGCAAGAAAACCACTAAGCCCACATAGGGCTGGCTCTTTAATGAAAAGGCAAGTTCTGCTTGTAGCTTTGCTTAGAATTTGAACTCATTTTCTCTAAGCTCACCTCAGTGAATAAACTGTGACTCCAAACTCTGAGCATTGCCTGGTTCTTCTCTGATTTCCTGTAACAGTAGCAATGCAGAAGAAGAAGATAGCGATGTTATGCAAGGGGTCAAGGTGCCAACATGGGGTCAGCTGAAGAACGTAATGTCTGAGGCCCAGCAGATGGTAGAAAAGAAAGGAGTGGAAGCTACTCCCCTCAGCCATGTTTCTGAATAGTGTTGGTGAGCTGCCAGTTTTCTATAGTCTTTCACAGCCAAATATGAGGACTTTGAGTAGATATACACCAGCAGAAAAAGAAACTTTCATTTTGTAGAAATAGTCCTAAAAATGTTAAAATGTCTGTAGTTTGGTTTCTCTCTTGTTGCTGTGTTGCATCGGCAATTTCTTTTAAAAAAAATATATCTTATTGATTTTCCACAGAGAGAAAGGGAGAGGTACAGAGAGCTAGAAACGTTGATGCGAGAGAAACATCGACCAGCTGCCTTCTGCACACCCCCTACTGGGGATGTGCTCGCAACCAATGTACATGCCCTTGACCGGAATCGAACCTGGGACCTTTCAGTCCACAGACTGATGCTCTATCCACTGAGCCAAACAGGTTTTGGCCAGCAATGTTTTATTAATAGCCAGAGTTTTGCTTTTGATATTCAAGTTTTATGTTTATTGTAATAGCTTAAATTTTTTTTAGAACTCCCAACATTGAAATAATCCTTATAATTCCAAGTGATCATAATGAATAAAGTAAATGGAAATAAATAAAAATAGATAAAGGGGGGAGACAGAGGGAGTGGCTACAGGGTCAAGCCTTGGACTGATCTATGGTAGAGTCACATATAAGGCCCAGAATAAGCACAATTAAGGTGGACCTTATAGTCCTTCCTCATTCCTGGGTAGTTTAAGAGCTGTGGAGGTACAGCAAGTGCTACCAAAAGAAGGCTTGAGTGATGAAATGGAAATGAAATTTCCAAGAACTTTGCAAACATGTCGATAATCCCCCTTACTTTGCTTTGTGTGCTCTGACTATAAAATAAAGCTACCGTTTACAGGCTGTGTCATTGTTTCCTCATCCAGGCAGTGATCCACCTTGTCCCATCTATGTTCTTTTGTCTGTCTTCTTTAATCCTTCACCGCTCCAACTCAGGTTCACCACTGGAATGCTGGAGTAGCTTCACTAACTAATGTTGAAGGCATTCCTTTTAACTTAAGGAAAATACAATCGGGGGGAAAAAAAGAATTTTTAAGCACAGTGACCGACTTCTTCAGTAAGGCTGAAGGTCAAAACTAAATTGTTTCAAAGCAAGTACACTTCTTGGCCTCTCTTTATAAGAAGTTATTGTTCACTGAATCTCTAGACCTTTTTGTCGAGAAAGATTAGATTTTTTTTGCCCTCATGCTGAAAGATTTGTTATTTCCATTTCCTTTTATGACATTTAAGATCCTTTGTTTTGAAATGGTTTTAAAGCTTTGATACAATGTTTGGACGATTAAAAAAGTTTTAAAAAATCACCAAGATAAAAATTGTTGATGTTTTAAATATTGTATCAGTTGTTATAAAAGTGCTTTGTTCAAATCCCAGAATGTTTACCTCAATAATGTAAAGATAAAAGGTTTGAAGGTCATCTGCCCACAAGTGTAGCTCTTCAGACAGGTTTCTGGAATATTGGGCATCATCAAAAGTCCGTCTGCTTAAGACATCCAGTGGAATCCAGGGGCCCACCCTAATCCTGCCCCAGACCATGGCCACCCCTTCCCACGCAGTCCTGGGGGAGGATGGAGAAACCAGGAGCAAAGGCAAAGGCAAGCAAGGCCACACGGATTATCACTAGGGAATGGGCCCCAAGCCTGGTGAGGGACCCAACACAGCAGGTAATGGGGGAGGCTCTGTGCACCCCTCCAAAGCCCAGTCTCAGACTTTCCTACCAGCTGGACGCTCAGAAGGGAAAGAAGTGAATGATGTGGGTGTGTGGGGCTGCCCCCCTCCCCTCCCCAGTTTGGGTGGATGATAAAGGGCAGGAATGGGAAGGTTAGGCCAGCTCCCAGCTGAGGATGGCACTAGCTCTTCATGCTGAGGCGTGGGGGAGAGGGTGGGGTTTGCTGCATCTTTTTGTGCATCATCTACTCTCTGAGACCAGAGTAGAAAGTGTGGGGAAGGTGGGGATCTGGGGGGAAGCGGTTTCTCCTCTAGCTTGCATTGTCCTTGTTAACCTATTGAGTTTGGTGGCCAAGTCTAGCTGTTTTGGGTGGCTGTAGAGTGTTTATTTATTTATTTAATTTTTTTAATTTTTTTAATTTATTTATTTTTTAAATAAATTTTTATTGTTCATATTATTACAAATGTTCCTTTCCCCCCCTTCTCACCCCACCCTCTGCCCTTTCCCCACCCCCCATTGTCCTCATCCATAGGTGCACAGTTTATGTTCAGTCTCTTCCCACATCCCCCTCTCCCCTTTTCCCCAAGAATAAACAGTTCACTCCCCTTCCATACCTCTGATTCTATTATATTCAACAGTTAATATTGTTCCTCAGATTTTTTTTATTTAGTTTCCTTGGTTTTTAGATTCACTTGTTGATATTGTAGTTACGTATTTGTTGTTCATAATTTTTATCTTTATTTACTTTCTCTTCTGAAAGAACCCCCTTCAGCAATTCATATAATTCTGGTTTGGTGGTGATGAACACCTTTAGCTTTTTTTTTATTAGTGAAGCTCTTTATCTGACCTTCGATTCTGAGTGATAGCTTTGCTGGATAGATTATCTTTGGCTGTAGGTTTTTGCTATTCATCACCTTGAATATTTCTTGCCA